GGCCACTTTTCATCCTCCATTAACTTCCTCCCTTTCGTATTCACTTGGTTGGCCTTGGCCATATATATATCTGTGTCGGTCATATTCTTGATCATCGCCAATGAATTGCTACACAACTTTCCGGCGTGGATCTCTCCGTCGATGAGCGAGTCTCGCAAGTGGCGTTCATGTTTATCGTGGGAGAAACCGTCGAGGCATGTTTCCTGGTTGGTGAGGGTGGTGCTCATAAGGGTCAATATGTCATCAACGTGTCGGCGAATCCCTTTCTTGGTAGGGTAGATCTCCAGGAAACTTATGACCTGGTTAAGCTGTTGAAGTGTGTCGGCGATCATCTCCAGGCAGTCATGGAGGGCGATTTTCTCACGTTTGGTGAGATGAGGCCTAAGCGTAAGGTTGTTTATGGTGAAGTAGTTCCTTTCTACGATGTCTTTAGTTTTATTGAGAGCAAGTTGGATGAGGTGGTTTGGAGTTGTGAGCTGAGGGTTGCCGGAAAGTGTGGAGTAGCATAGATGGGGGTGGAGGGTGATGCTACATGATGAGTCGATGAGGTGGGAGTGGGCGATGGCTGAATGCGGTTGGATAATCAGTAGGATGGAAGCATAGGATGTGAAGAAGATGAAAAAGAAATCCATGGTGAGGTGGTGGATGGATGATTAGAATGCGGTGGACATGAGTTTTAAAGATTTTGGGCCATACATGTATCACTGTAAGTGTAATGTAAAGTCACGGTTATTATTAAATTATTTTATTTTATGGCAGCAAATCAAATTTTGGAACGTTTATAACGTGTACAAATCCCTTTTTCTTTATATATTCAACCAAACGAGAGTCATCGCATCTGAACCTTACCATTTCCGAGTTTTTGTTTTTTTGAAGAGAAATAATCCCACTTCTCTTGTTCATCCATGTCTTACACATAATTAGGTCTCAAATCACACACTTGCAAGAGAGAATATTACTAAGTTAATTCTAAGAGAGATATATATGTATGTATTGTTGAACAAAATATAGTAATTTAGAATGGGTAGTATATTGTTGTCTTTGGTTTGAGCATCTTTGTCTTGACACATCAATAATTAATGTTGAAGATTTAAAAAACCCTCTAGTACAGTACTTGTGGTATTCAATTATAATGTCTTATCATAAATATGTCTTTTTCTTTCCAACTTCACATGTTTCACATTAATTAATTCCACTAAATGTGATTATATATGAGGTTTATTTAATGGACCTTTAATATATATATATATATATATATATATATGTGTGTGTGTGTGTGTGAGAGAGAGAGAGAGTGAGTGAGAGAGAGATGATAGATACAAAGACCAGGACTTTTCAGCAATCTAAGTTGATTAGTTTACCCATATGAATATCCCTATAACGTATTATGCATTTTCTTAGGAATTTGGTCCTTATAAATGAATGAGTCAAATAATTCCGATATGTTTAATTAATTGATGGCCAATTTTGTTCTTTTTCCTTTTTTGTCCTTTTTTCCTAATAAAATATTAATATGTAAAAGGTATGTATATATAAATGCTTAATATTATTTTCTGGAGAATAATGAAAGCCACCTTCACTAAATTAATGGAATATAACCAACTCATTTCATATTAAAATGCATACCATTATACACAATAACCATAATTTCACACACTTTTCATCCACTCCAATATTTTTTCAACTATTTTTTTTTTTAAGTGAAAAAAAGGAAGGTGGTAAAAAGTCGTTGCAATTTGACAGAGATGCATGGTTGTCAATTAAAAGTGTTTGGAACATGATAATTAACTCAACAAACAAAAAAGCATATACGTACGCTACAACCAGCACTCACCGACGGTGGCGGAATTGAAGGTCGTACTCCCGCCGGCAACACTTCGGCTGGCCGTGATTATAGTGGAACTTCTTCCGGACCCCAGAAACATCAAGTTCCTTTTACTGCTTGGAATGTCCACGTTTTCCCTGTACACTCCTGCCGCTATCCTAATCACATACCTGCTTGAACTACCCGATGGAGCAGCCGCAACCGCAGCAGAAACCGTGGTAAAGTCCCCACTCCCATCTGCCGCCACAACCACGTTAGGTGTTGCAGTCCCTGACTGCAACAACCGTCTATCTCCCGCCGACAACCACTCCGGCCACTTTTCATCCTCCATTAACTTCCTCCCTTTCGTATTCACTTGGTTGGCCTTGGCCATATATATATCTGTGTCGGTCATATTCTTGATCATGGCCAATGAGTTGCTACACAACTTCTCAGCGTGGATCTCTCCGGGGATAAGCGAGTGGCGTAACTGTTTATCATGTTTGTCGTGGGAGAAACCGTCGATGCATGTTTCCTGGTTGGTGAGGGTGGTGCTCATAAGGGTTATCAAGTCATCCACGTGGCGGCGAATCCCTTTCTTGGCAGGATAAGCCTCCATCAAAGCTATGATCTGGTTGAGTTGTTGGAGTGTGTCGGCGACCATCTCCAGGCAGTCATGGAGGGCGATTTTCTCACGTTTGGTGAGATCTGACCTAAGCGTGAGCTTCTTTATGGTGAAGTAGTTCCTTTCGACCGTCTCCCTGGTTTTATTGACAGCAAGTTGGATGACGTCTTTTGGAGTTTTGACGATTTTGGTGAATTGAGGGATGTGAGAGAGCGTGGAGTAGCATAGATGAGGGTGGAGGGTGGTTGAACATGATGACTGCAGGATGGAATGAGCTTTGGTGTTCGCAGTGACGTGGAGGGAATGGGTGATAAGAATGAGTAGGACTAGGAAGAGATTGGTGGAACCGGAATTCGTCATTCCGGCGAAGAGATGGACGTAGAATGACGATGGAAATGAAACCAAGATAGAAGATAGTTAATATGAATGGCAGAGGCGCCAACTACATGATGTATGTATGCATTAAATTAAATTAATGGATTTTTTTATATTATATTATATTATATTTTGTTTTTCCATTTATTTTCGACCAATAAATAAAATATCTTTTATAATTTTATTCAATTATTATTGGCAATCAATATCTGATAACAAGACATCACATCAGATAAAAATAATAAGTCATTTGAATTTATTTTTTAATTAGTTGTTATTTATTTGTAATTATCATAAAATTCCTTTCAAATAGGAAGAAACATATATAACCTCTTTTATATCCCAATAAAAACATAAATTTGTGGTAGAAAATAGAGGTTGTAAATTGAAAAACCATTTGATTGAATTAATAAAACTTTTATTAATTTCATTAATGGTATGTACGTCTATTAATTAAAGTTGACAATTTATTTATATTTTTTGCCACACCTCCCTTGGTTGCAATTTAATACATATTCCAAAAATATCAACAATGTTATTTTACAGACTAGATTGAATAAATAAGTCAGATTTTATGGACCTCCTATTTCATACTTTATTTTTAGGAGGTATTTGGTTTGTAAATTCTGAAGATATCTTATAAAATTGAATGTTAAATTTCTTTGATCAAATTCCTTTCTATCGTATAGTTTAGTTCGTTCCTTTTTAGGGAAAGAAATCTTCAAATCCATCAAATGAAGGATTTAATCATTCCATGGCATATAATTTGATGGAATTAAATTCTTTATTTTCACGCCAATATGATCAACCACCCATCTTTCTTCAATTTCTCCATCATCTCGCTAGATTCTCCATCGCAACACAATACGTTCGATACATGATCTCTCAATTTCTCTCTTGCTCGGTTTCTTTTTTCTGTTTTTGCTTGCTTTATTTTATTATATAGCCATCGTAGAACCATCTATGTTTGTTTCTGTTTATATTACCATTACCATTACCATTACCATTGATATTTGTTTATGTTTCTGTTTGCTACCTTTGTAGAACCATTCATTTTTCTCTTAAATTAATATGCTACCTTTTAGCTTTGTACAACCTTACATAGTCATTATCCATGTATGCTTTGATCTTTAAATCCAGTTTGCTCCATTTATGCTTAATTTTTATGGTATGCGGACATGGGTTGTGTCATAAGCTCTGATTGTTAAACAACTTATAGTTTAAGGGGGAAAAAAACAACATTTTCAAAAAGAGTATTTTGGTCATTTACCAAAACATGTCGTTTCAATTCCAAAGCTATATTTCGTGAACCAAACAAAAATATTCCAATTAGTTTAACAAGTTACAGTTGTTTCAACAAATTCCATTCCAATTTTTCAACCAAACATGTGTTCAACATGACAACGTCCATCTAAATACCTTCAAATGTCAATTCTTTTTTGACAAATTACATTTTATCCAAATACATTCTACAAACCAAATACCAACTTACCTTTGATTTTTGGCTTTCGCCTTTATTTTTAACCATTTATATGAAAATTGAAAATAAAAATAAAAATAAAAGGAAAAACTAATAAATAAAAGAGTGAACTACTGTTTTGGTCCCTGTGGTTTACACGAATCACCGAAAGAGGTCCATACACTTCGATAACTACAATTATCTACATTTTACTTTGAAATCGTCCATGGTCATTAACTCCGTCAAAACTGTCTTTTAAGTAAGGGGAACGTTGGTTTTTTTTTTTTTTTTACCATTTTCCTTATGTTTTACTATTATACTATTAATTTATATGTTATTTATATTATATACAAAAATATATATAACCTCACTGAAACAACTTCAAACCTGACTTACTCCAATGACCATCTTCACGCAACCTGATTTGCTCCTATCACCATCTCTGACAAGAAACCAATATGTTTTGCTACCATCTTTTGCAACCTAAATCGATACCTAACTAAAAATAAACCTGAAACACAAATTTGAAACCATTTTCAAACTAAATCAAATCCAAATCCAAATCTAAATCTAAATCTGAAACCAATCAAAACTCAACCTTAACCACCATTGGTGCCACTGTGTAAACCTAAAAATTCTGCCAGCTTCTGGAACAGAACTTCTGCACCTCAAAATTTCCAACAGAGTCATAAACCAGGGGCTGTTCTTTGAATCGATTGACTATGCTTTAGATCATATTGGTTGTGCTTTGAATCAGTGGCTTCAAACCTTGTCTATCTAAAAGAATCTGTCACCGACGATTTTTTGTCTCTCCTTTAAGAAATCAATAGCGCCCTTCTCTTCAACAATAAATTAATAGCCCTTCGGCCATGCTTTGACTGTTTCTTCGTTTTCAAAAATAAATATACAACCCTCCATAAGTGGTTCACGTAGGAGGGCGATGGAGGTGGTGGTGGTTAAGGATGGTGATTTGTCCGGACCCAGTGGGGAACCCAGCTCACTCGACCTGAACGAGGACGGTGATTCCTAGCTAAAACGGGTCCCGAGGCTGGGGCCGAGTATTGTACCCCGACATGCGCTCGTACCCAATATATTAATATTCATTTAATAAGTATTTGAGCTTTGAAAATTTTGATAGTGAGCCTTTGTTGTTGTTAGACTTCAAATAATAAGAAATTGAAAGGAAATGGTCCAAGTGGAGCCATCGATCGAGGTCAGATCTCACTTGTCGGCCCTCGGTCCTCCCCTCGCTCGTTGCCACTGGCCACTCGCCAATAACCAGTCTCCTCCAACCCTCTGTCGACCTGCCTTTCTGACCTGCCGACATCTCGAGTCTTCGACGTCCTCTAGTGGTCCAACCCTCTGCCCTTTAGCCGACGCCTCATGTAGTCATGTGATATGAGTATCTATACTATCTATTTATCTCTATCCACTCAAGATTAGTGAGATGAATTTAGAATTTTGTAATTGTAATTCGATATTGGGAAAGACTTCAAAAGTATTTGTATTAGGAAACATGAGATTCTATCTGCGTATAACTATTAACTATTGCTAGGTTTTGGCATAGAACTATTAACTTCAAGAGTATTTGTATTAGGGAACATGGGATTGGACGGGGTCGGGGACTGAGGTTTGTCGGGGGTTTAACTAGGTTTTGACCAGGGACGCGATGTTAATCCCCATATCCGTTGGGGACGGGGCCCGATGCTGTTACTAAAAACCGTGGATAGGGATTACAAAACCCGTCTCGTTGCCATGCCTAGTGGTGGTTATGTGGAGGTGGTACACCGATGCTCGGTGGGAAAGGAAAGGGAGGGGGTGAGGAGCGTCAGCGATGTGAGTATGTGCATATGTATTCATATTATATACATAATTTAATTTAATTTTAATATAGAAAAATGGTAAGAAAATGGTGAAAAAACGAACATGCTCCTTACTTAACTGATAATTTTAACGGAGTTGATGACCAACGATGATTTTCAAAGCAAAATGTAAACAATAGGGACGATAATTGTAGTTATTGAAGTTTAGGGACCACTTTCAGAGATTGGTGTAAACCATAGGGACCAAAATCGCAGTTTACTCTAAATAAAAAGTGAAATGGATGTGCAAGTTGGGCCATTTAACTTCGAAAAGGCAAACGACGTTAGCAAGAGAGACTAATTTTGCAACAAAATACATACCACAAGGACCATGGTCGTAATAAACTAAGTACCAGCGGGACCATGAACGCACTAAACAGAGTTAGAGGATTGTAGTCGTAAATTATATCAAAACACAGCGACCAAAACTGCAGTTTACTCAACAATTGACCCAGCGCGGATCCTATGGGGCTCTGACCCGCTACCAAACCTCCCTGAAAAAGAAAAACCATTCAAAACCCTAATTCATAAACCCCTGCGGAGGAAGAAGAAGAAGAAGAAGAAGAAGAGGAGAAGAAGAAGAAATTAAAGATGGGTAAGAAGTCTATGAAGAAAATTAAAGGTGCCGACGGAGACAAGAATATCTCTGGTGGAATCAGTGAAACCCTCAAACCCCAAAAACACTCAAACCATCAAGAAGCTTCTACGCCACGGACATCTTTTTTAAGGTTTCAACTGTAATTTCAATTCTAAGTATTTTTCTTTCACCTTAAGAACCAGTATGTGTAATCTCAGTAATGCTTCTTCCTTACCAGGCTGCTAATGATAGCTATATGTGTTCTTAGAGAACAGGTTGATCCAGAAACAGCAAAATACTTCTCCGAGATTGCAAATGTCATCGAAGGTACTGAAGTTGATCTGGAGGAACGCTCATCTATTTGTGGAAATGCTTTGGAAGAAACAAGAGGGAAGGAAGTAGAACTTGCAACCGATTATATCATAAGTCACACTTTGCAAACTCTTCTTCAAGGCTGTGCTTTGGACCAGCTTTGTACCTTTCTTCAAAACTCTTCAAAAGACTTCCCACGTATTTCCATGGATAAATCTGGATCTCATGTAGCCGAGACAGCTCTCAGGTCTTTAGCTGCACATCTTCAGGAAAGTGATACCCAAGCTCTTGTTGAAGCGACTTTGAATGATATATGTCAGGTATACTATTTGGTAGTTATGTGCTTGATGCATGTAAACAAGTAAAGTACATTTCATTCTTCTCCTATGCAAAACTTACTGATGCCTCTCCTCGTGAATGCCTTCAGTGCCTTCCACCTACCGGAAGATAAAATTAATATAATGATGGAACAGTTTTGAGCAAATTTTCTTTTGAATTATGGAAATTTGGATCATCCCAATAATAGAAACGGCCATTGCACTGACATCTCCATGTTGATCTTTTTCCTGTTAGGCAATTGTTGCCAATCCTGTTGAAGTGATGACAAACTGTCATGGATCCCATGTCCTTCGAAGTCTTCTCTGTCTCTGTAAAGGGATGCCATTTGATTCATCTGACTTTCATTCCAAAAAGCCATCTGCTGCTCTTGCACAGAGGTTAAATTTTAAGTCTTCTCGGTCAGATGGAAGTGGATCCCAAGGACTGCAGCTTGGGTTTCCTGATATGCTCAAATTTCTTGTGTTAGAGATACTTAAAGCCGCCAGAAAGGATATTGAAATGTTGCAAGTTGATCAATATGGCAGCTTGGTTCTGCAGGCATGTTTTCTGCTCATATCTTGACTTCATCTTGTGTCCTAAGTGCCACTATGTACATTGCTTCTTTTTTCTTTCTAGTAAATGTGGTGGTACCCGACCGACCTTTAACTGACTAAACCCACAGGGTCCAAGTCCACCATCATATATGCTCGAAAAGGGTAAAACTCTCCTGAAGGGGAGATTGACATGACCCAGTAGCCCATTACAAGAGGTGATCACACCGCATGAGTGGAACCTGGGCCTGTCACCTCTGGCTTGTTAGGCACCTTGGGGGTTCACCATTTGGTCATCCTTTTGGGGTTATGCACAATACACCTGATGCTTTTTCTCTTGTAATACTTTGGCAGACTGCTTTGAAATTATTGGTTGGATATGACCAGGAGTTATTGCATGCAATTCCTGTTATTCTTGGCTGTAATGGTGTAGATGCCAGCGAAGGGAACCTCATAGACAATAATGTTGTCAAAAGACTTCGGAGTTTAATGAAAGAAGCTGCGTTCAGCCATTTAATGGAGGTTTGACTAATATCATTCAATTTGTTTTCACTTTACAAATTGTTTACTTACATATACCATCATTGATATTATTGTCATATTTGTTATGTTTTCCTGACACTATATTATCTACTTTAAGGTCTTTCAAATTATAAAAGGAAACCTGCTACCAGACCAAGGTGATTAGGTGAAAAGGAATAGAAGGCAGAGTTTATTACAATGCAATACAGATATCTATAATATCAAATTCTATGCTCCAACTCTACTGCATGGAAGGCAGAACGGATATGCTAAATCTTTCTATCAGTTTGGCAATCTGCATATGACTAGAGTTCTTACTTATCCTAATATTTAGTGTTTCCTTGATCCTATCTGAATTGGCTTTAAACTTTGTGCAAGACCTTTTTGTATTGTTATTGATAGTTACACTTACATCACCTTGACATGCATTATTTTCAGTATGTAGCTCTCTTGTGAGACAGTGGAACAACTTAACATCTTACCAAGCTTAAGTTTTTTACCTGTAATTCTTTTTCTATAATAATAATAATTTTTGATTTTGACATTTTTGTCTTCCTAATGACAGGTTATCTTGGAAGTTGCTCCTGAACCCTTATACAATGAAATAATAACAAAGACTTTCAGAAATTCATTATTAGAGATGTCCTCTCATTACTGTGGGAATTTTGTTGTCCAAGCATTGATTTCCCATGCTAGAAGCGAGGATCATGTAAGCGATACAATAGTTTAGGGCATCCATTACACTATTCCCAGTTATAACATTTCATGTTTTGAGTAGCACATCTATGGATAACTTTTGTTTCTCTTTTCTGTTGTTGTCAAGTTTACACCGAGGACTAGACATTTTTACTTAACATGTTCAATGAATCAGTTTTTTCTTTCCAATTTCATCCTGTAAAATAACAGTAACATATTACGCTCGATGATGCCTGGATATCTTAACCCTCTTCGGTTAAGTCATAAATGTTATAGTAAATATATGTTATATGTCTGTGAATTAAATTTAAATGTCAATCTTTTCAACCCTTTCAGGTGGAGCTGATCTGGAAGGAACTTGGCACAAAATTCAAAGATCTTTTTGGAATGGGCAAGTCTGGAGTTGTTGCTTCTCTCATTGCTGCAAGTCATAGGCTCCATAGCCATGAACACATGGTATGTAATTCCAAAACATTTCTAATGTTTTCGATATCTACTTGTCACTACCCTTTTGATTGATCTACCTTGGAAGTAATGATGGGGAGGTTTGTACTTGATGGGATTTGTCAAGACCCTGCAAAATTAATACCGATACCTATTGAACGACACTTAATTTGTAGCAATGGCGGCACTGGATCGAATTCCAAGGGAACGACATAAGATAGTTTTTGATTTGAAGTTCACAAGCAAAATGGGGGTGGGATTGGTTTCATTTAAACTAGTTCTTTGAAAAATAAAAGTCAACACTAATATGACAAATTAACAAGAAGAATAAAACTACTAATGAAGTATTGAAGTTTAATGGTAAAGAAAATTTGATTCTAGGAGTTGAAACATCATTTAGTCATTGATAAAATACCTAAATACATTCAAATATTTAACTGAAGGTATAAGAGGATAGACATGATAGACCTCCTGTTTTTCGAATTTCATTGATCGAACTCAACATATCAAATCTTATTATCAGTCGATTGGACACCAAGTCTTAGAATGGGAATAGCTACGAACTCTGATACTTGTTCCAATGATTTATTCGATATATATTTTAGTTGACCAAATTGTGAAATACGTAAATAAATCAAGTTGCTACATGTACTCATGATTCAAGACAACTACAGATCAAGAAATCTAGAGTAGCAACAGATAGATAACTGAATATCGAGATAAGTTGTCAATTTACATCAACAATCACTCATATTGAAATTAAAACCCGAAATCAAATAATGTTTGAGCTAAAAGAGGGTTTATAAAGTTTAAATCTCACATTAAAACTATCAAGTAAGTTGAAACCTTGAATCAAAGATGAGTTAAATAGCCACTCATGGTGATGATTACCAAAATTTCACTTGATTGAAAATAAAGATGTTAAACTTGCAATACTTAGCACCTAATATGCAGAGAAAACTCAACACAAGAAGTAGAGAAAATATGGCGAAAGCTCTCTTCTTACATGGAAACAAAATGGAGGAGAAAAGACCAAAAGAAAATGCGGTAGTGGAGCCATTTGTGAATGGAGAGGACAAGTACCAGGGTTAAGAAGGCACGGAGGACAAGTGGTGAAGCTGAAGCAAAAGATGTTGGAGTACTTCTTTGTGCTTCTTGTATCCTATAATAAGAGACATGTATTTGTTTCTCTTATTTTTTGTTCTTTTCTTCATGGATGTGGGGTTCTCTAGGAAGAATTTGGTTGGCCCATTTGTATCAAATCCAATACTCATATGATTTAATTTCAACAAGAGGAACTATATCAATAAACATCTTTTTGTAATTCATCAGCAGTCCTCATTTATCATTTTTTAATCAGATTTCTTTATTGTTAACTTGTTTTGCAGTTTTGTCAAGCTCTCATTTCTGCTGTATGCATGGAAAATGAGCCCCCTAGATGCATTGTTCCTCGGATACTCTTTCTTGATAACTACTTTTACTGCAAGGATAAATCCAACTGGGATTGGCCAAGTGGTGCTAGGATGCATGTTATTGGGACATTGATTCTTCAATCAGTATTTAGACTTCCAAGTGTACGTGACCTATTTTCGGTTTTGTCACTACTATTTGCTAATTTATATAGGTGCTCTTAGCTGATCTTCTCTCAGCTGCAGTGTTTCTCGTAATAATGTTTTTCTCATCACCTATTCTAAATGATTTTCATTCCTGTTCGGGATTAACTAGGTTCTACCAGAAACCAAAATAAATTAAATGCTACCCGAAAGCAGTGAGGTCATGGACATAAAATCATCGATTTCCTAATGCCTAGATTCCTTTGCATAGCAATATTTAATTGTTTTGATCTTGTTTGGTATGTTGGTGCTCATATTTGTATCTACTACCGATATTTTACATATTTATTTTTTGTACATTTTCTGTGAATCAACAAGAAACATCTATAAACTTGCTGACAATTATGTGGGTGATATTTGTACATGCTGTAGAAGACAATTTTTAATCATTTTGGTGTATGTTTGGTATCTATTCTATAGGAGTTTATCCATGCCTTTATCTCGAGTATGACATCTTTGGAAGAAGATCATCTCCTTGACACTTCAAAGGACTCTGGAGGGTCTAGGGTGATTGAAGCTTTTCTCAATTCAAATGCTTCTGGGAAACAAAAGCGTAAATTAGTTGTAAAGTATGTGTGCTGTTTTATGGCAATCTAATTTATCTGTATCAAGTATTATCTGGTGGACAGCAAATAATTTATTCTGTTGATGTTTGACTCTTTGAAATTTCCTCTTCTTTGTGTGGGTCTGAAGACTTAAAGGACATTTTGGAGAGCTTTCTATGCTTCTGGCAGGTTCCTTCACCGTTAAGAAGTGCTTTGATGTCAGCAGTGTGGCTTTGAGAGAGGTGATTGTGTCAGAAATGTTAGCTGTGCAGGCAGAGCTCTCAAAGACAAAGCATGGCCCTCATTTCTTGAGGACATTTGATGTTGAGGGGCAAGTTCTTTTTCTTTACTGGTTTCACTTTTCTAAATTTATTCTACATTGCTGAAGTTAAAGATTCTCATTTGATAGCATAAATGTTGATGTTTTAACTTTAATGCTTTTTCCTCTGAAAACAAACACTTCTATACATGTACTTTAAGAAAGGGGGGGGGGTAATAAATCAGTTTGCTTTGTGAATTTTGTTTTGGATAGCTGAGTACATGTTTCCTCACCTTGATGATCTTATGTGGTGCGTTTTTTTCTTCACTAGGTATGCCAAACGACCTGATCAATGGAAGTCGAGACAGACTTCTAGAGAATCTGCGTACAATGATTTCATTTCTACCTTTGGTTCAAAGGAGACAACATCATCAAAATATGATGCATCTTTTACAGAGAATCGCCCAAAATCACAGCAAGAGAAGCTCAAGGACATGAGGAAAGAGATTGATACTCATCTAACTTCTTCTTGCTCTCCATTCCTGGCTCATAAACCATTTAAAATGTCAGGCCAGAAGCGTCACTCGGATGGAACAGAAAGGGGTGCTGGGAAATTTACTAAACATACAATGGAAGATGACACTGGGAAAAGCAAACAAAAATCTCATAGAAAAAGAAAGCACGATGGTTGACTGAGAATGCTCTTAGGGTGTAAACTGAAGCATTCACCTGGATCTCCTTCCGGACAAGGAGCACTTTACTGGTCAAAGTCATCATTAAATGTGAGAAACCTGGCTTTTTTTTGTCGGTGTATTTATATCCAATTTTTCCTTTTTCAATTTTGCCGGTATATTTTTTGCCAATAGTTTGCACCAATATGTTCCAAGTGCATATCTGTTGTGTCCTATTTTTAGAAATGTCCCCTTTTCATTCTGTATTCTACTCTGTTATTACTATAGAGACAATTGTTACTATAGAGATAAGCACAGTAATTAGCATTGAAAATGTAATGGATGACTCCATATTCACATCTTTAAACTGCTGGTTACATTTAAGTTAAAAAAATGAACTACTTTAAAAGCTAGAACGTTTGGTACATGCAAAATTAAAATTGTATTCATTACTTGAGTAAGGGCTGCTGCATTGATTCAAGATATTCGTGAAGTCACTTTACTTGTTCTGGATTGGATTAGATCTGCTTGGTGGTATCTTCCGAAAGCTTGATTTCAGCTTCTTGAAAGGCTCCTTTTTTCCTGCATGCAAACCTTTGAGAGTTGAAGAAGCTAGTCCTGCACTTTTTGATGGTAGTTTTGCCTGAACACCACTAGGAGTAGGCCATAAAACAAGAATGAGTAGCAGGGAAAGAAAGATAAGAGGCGGGCATGGTTTAGAGTTAGATTTCATGATGGGTTTTGAAAGTCTTTGATGTAGATTAATAGGCAAAATCCTTGTTTATATGTGGAAGTGGATGGGATGTTTGACTGTATTGTATGTTATGACCTTGATTTTCAAGATCAGTTTTTACAGTAAATTTATTAGGCACGTGATAACATTATATAAAACTGTATGTGATCCAGACAGACCTTGGTAATGGTGTTGTGGTGCCTTTGCGGCCTCTATATGCTCCATTGGTCAAGGTGTTCTCATACCACTCTGGTGTGGTGGTGGTTTATATTAAAAAAAGATAGTAATGTGAAGGTGCATGGGTCACTGTTTTTGTTTTTATATTGTTGAGATCCTCGGCTACAAAAAGTGTTGGTTCTCATGGAAAGGTAAAATGGTAGGCATACCGCAATTGTGAATTGTGGTTTGTTTCAAGATGATGACATGAAACACGTGTGTTTGGGTCGAAATCATGTGGTGTAGTTATTTATTTTTTGTTTTACTAATAAGGAAAAAAAAGTAGTTAAATGACGGCCTCGTCCAGAACAAGCTGGAAGTGGCCAAGGTTGGATGGTAGGTCCGAACCAATTAGGCAATTATTAATTAGTTTCCTTTGTTGGTATATATTATGACCATCTTCTTGTTTGAACCTAAACCTGAACCTGCCTTTAAGATAGTAATCCAACTATGCATATAGATAGGAACCTTATGAAGATAAGATAGATATATGAAAGGTTTTATTAGTTAGTAATTTGAAATTAATAAAAAAAAAAAAAGAAAGATTATACACGAGTTGGAGTTGGTGATTATGGGGTAAGGGGGCAGGATTTGACATTGCTACCGCTGCTGGTGCCTGGACTAAATATTTTCTTTAATGATCTCATTCCAGAAGAACATCTGTTGGATAATTGTTGTTGTTGTTGTTGTTCTTCTTCTTCTTGGTTACTCAGAGCTGCAGGTATATCTATCACCAAATCCGGTCTAATTCTTCTATCATGCAGTGATGAAGATGCAGGCTCCTCTTGATGATGATTGGTAACATCATGTGTTGGGGAGTGTTGTTGTGAGACTTGATCCCTACAGATGGGACAAGTTGAGTGGGAATGAAACCACATATCAATGCATTCCATATGAAACCCATGATTACATTTTGGTAATATCCGGGCTTTGTCTCCTTGTTGCAGTTGGGATAAACAGATAGCACATTCGAGTCCATGTTGAAAGTCGTTGGGATGGAATTGTATGATTTTCAAGAATGAAGCATCAAGGGGTCGTTGTTGGGGGTCGGGGATGGCTGTTTGGCGAAGGCGGTAGGAATACCATTTGGAGTAGAGGTGGAGGAAAAGGAAGAAGAGGGTGAGGATGAATAAGGCAGCAATGGAGACCAACATGATGTTTCTGGTGAGGTCCATGACACCTGAATCATCAGGATCCATGTCCAATTGATATAATATGAAGAAAAAGAAATGCAATGGGAGGGTTTATTTAAACTTCAAAGAGAGGGGCGGCTTTGAAGTTAAAGGAAAGTGGCCGTCGACAATTCAAACCCATTCTATTCTTTGACCCACTCCTATTCTTGCTTGCTTATCCAAATTACCCTTTTCACCCTTTACAATAAAAAGTTCCAACCACAAGATACAACTCTTAAATAAATAAATATTGACTTTTAAGTACAAATATATTTAAGAGACTCTTTTATTTATTTATTTAAAAATCGAGAGTAAATAAAAGATGAAGTAAGGGGGATCTCTCTCTCTCTCTCTCTCTATATATATATATAATAATAATAAAATGTATTTTTAATTATTTGATTCTTTTTTTTTTTGGTAATCTTGTTATAAAAGTTAGAAGATGAAGGCTAATGGTACCCCTATCATTTACTTATGTCACCCCTATACAACTATGTGATCATTACTTTTTTTGTTTTCTTTTTGTAATTTTGTCCTTTTGTTGTCTTTTTTTTATACTAATTTTTTAATTATCTTATCATAAATATATACTATTACAATTATTATTTTTTATTCTATAATAATTTAGGGGAAAACTAATGACACCCCTATCCTCTTATATAATGATGTTTTTTTTTTTACTTTTTTGAATTTTTGTCTCTTTGTTGTCTTTTTTATTTTTTATATTAATTTTCTTTTACTCAATTTATTTAATTATAAATATATTACTATTATAAATATTATTTATTATTATGTAAAGATATTATTTTTTAATCAAAATTTCTATTAAAAATATTATATGTTTAATTTTCTCTTTTAATATTTTTTCTTAAAAGATTGTTATTTTTTTCCTAATAATTACTTTTAAAGAAAATATATATATATATATATATATATTTTATATAATTATGATTCAAGTTTCAAAGTATTTGGCACCCGGTTGCCATTAAGACTCATGTGAGTTAAATATTTGAAGAATGTGAGGGTAATTGAAGGGTGACTTGTATTCTTTAGTAGTCTTATGCATAATAGTCAATATTATAGCCCCAATCATGGCTACTAATAAAATTCAATTTATATGTTTAAAAAAATCAAAACAATCCCATTCAAATTTCATTTTCATTTTCAGTTTAAAATAATAAAATATGAATCCTATTAAAATACATAAAATAGTTTTAAATGTACAACTTATAATTAAACTTTATAATCAGGTTTGTTTATGTTAAATATTTAAAAATATATTTTCTTATCAAACTTATCAATTTAATTATTGATTCAAAACTACATGAACATAAATAAAATATGAAAGCTTATATATTTATTCATCCCATTGCCATTGCCATTGCCATTGCCATTGCCATTCCTATAATATTAATTATTAATCATAGTAATATTGATTTATCAAAAAAAAAAAAATATTTTGAATATTTATTTATAAATAAAATTGTTTTGCTTATAATTTGTGGTTTATGTTTAACAGTAAAACAAAATGATTCTTAAAATAAAACTAAAAGCTATATGCATTCTAATTTAATCCTAAAATAACCAATTGATGTGAATTTAAATTTAAAGAGAAAATATATAAATGTTATTTGGTACAAAAATGAAACCAAAATGATATCGTTATCCTCCTCCTCCTCCTGCTGCTCACCGGGGTTCTTTCTCTCTCTCTCTCTCTCTCTCTCTCTCTCTCTCTCTCTCTCTCTGTGTGTGGGTGTGGGTGTGTGTGTGTGGGTGGCTCTCATCCCCTTCGTTCAACATCAACCTACACCTGCAACCTTTTATGACTCTGAATCCCTGACTGAATGACCTCCTCATGCCTTTATTAGGTTATCTCATTTCCATTCATCCGTCTATTGCTTTCTACTTTCTGCTTCTTGTTTTTACAATCATTCCATCTTCTTATGTCTCCAGATATTGCTACTCCACAGCCTTCCTTCAGGAACACCCTCTATTCTCTTGGATTTCAAACACTTCCTCATGTTTCTGCCAATCCTAAGACTGCCCCATGGAGATATTTCCACAAGCCTACCCGATTTATTATCAACCCCCTACACGTTTCTTCTGCTCCTCTTTTGATCAAGGCCGTCGCTACCCTTGAACCTAGGTCTTCTCTTAAGCAAAATGGTGACGCACAACACCTCCCCATTGATTCCCCCACAAATCACAACCAATCACCCCCAATTCAAGACGACAAGGAGATGTTGAGGCGGAAAAGGATTTCCAAAGCTAACAAAGGGAAAGAAGCTTGGAATAAAGGCATACAACACAGTCCAGGTGCTCCCGCTTCCTACTCCAATACTATTACCTATACCTATAGCATGCTTCTAACATTTTACACCGTCTCTTGCAGAAACTCGGCAGAAGATACGTGAGAGAACCAAGATTGCTATGCATTCTCCTAAGGTACTCATTCTCATACAAGAATACTTGTATTTTGAGAAACACTTTTATGGGCTTGAGAAAAAAGAAATTCCACAAAACGAATCTTCTTGTTGGATCTCAGCTCCAGTCTTCTAGTTACTTTTGCTTATTTCATTTATGCTCATGTCTGAGAAAAAGAGACAACCTTTGAGCCTGCTGGACTTGCTCAAGTGATTAGGATTTGCAGGATGACCTCTTTTCGATATTGTGTGTTGCCACTTGCCAACTGAAACTACCAGATTACTCCTAGTAAAGTGATATCCATTAGTCTGACCATCAAGTTTCAAAATAAGCAAATACCAGCAATGTGTGATTATAGAGATGCAATGTGAATGGCTTGTTTACTGCCACTTGAGCATTGCCTCCTTACATGAGGTACGAGGATGAAAGGCGTGGCCAAAAAAAGAACCCATACAAGGCATTCAAAAAGACACCTTTTTGTTCTTACATGGATGCTTCAGTTACTGTGTAATTCTTACTGGTGGCAGTAGCATAAAGCTGTTGTAGATCTATAAGATGGTTTCCTGGCTTTAAATGAGAGTAATGAAAGATGGCCTCTTTTCTTTATGTTTCTCCCCTTCTTTTGATTCTCAGTTTCTCTGTCATAAGTTGGAACTCTATCTACACTAACAATTGCTGTCCGTGCAGGTCAAGATGAAACTGATTAAGGCGGTGCATAGTCAAAGGTCGGTCTAACTTCTTAAACTTCATCATGTTGAAATTGACATCTGAATCTTGATCCTTGATAAATTTCGAAGCTTACTAATTATCATTGCTGCAATTATTATGCTTAGCAATGATTGAACGCCTAGTATGCTTAGGAATGGTTGATCTTCTTCTCAAACTTCCCAAAATATTCACGTAACACCTTGATTTTTTCAGGAAACGAAATCCAAGTTTAGGAAAGTGAGTTCCTTTTCTCTCTCCCTTTTACTTTTTTACAACATTTTGACAATTAGATTGCACTTTCCATCGATTTTGGATGAGGGCAACCTTCATTTAATTATAGATACATGAAGTTGAGTTGCATCAGGAAAGAGTCATGAACGAGTTTTCTTGTCTCTATGCTACTTGCAAACTTGTACAGAACAATAGTTGGGAACATAAAAAATCAGTTAATTGGTTATGGATGATAATTTATGTCATCATGCATGGATGAAAACTAGAATGTATTACTGCATAACCAAGCAGTTTGTGGAGTATGAAGTAAGGATTGCCAGTTGCAAAAAAGTCAAGAATGATATCTTTGGTGATTGGGCTCAGTTTTAGAGAAAGATTCAGGAATTGATGTGGATGTTAGGCATACAATGAAAGCATGATGGTGACAAGCTCCGCATGTATTGTGTGATCAACATATCTCATTAAAGCCGAAAGGTAATTGCCACTAGATGTTGCTAAAGCATGTTTTGATTTATGGATGTAGTGCTCGGCCACCGAAAGATAACATGCTATAAGGAGAGTAGCAAAATTTAAATATCGAGATGGATGTGTGGCCAAACAATGAGGGATAGGATTGCAAACGAGGATAAATGAGTGAAGATTGGGGTGGCGCTGGTTTGGGAGAAGCTAAAGGCAACACTCTTTGAGCTGGTTTAGTAATTCAAATGTAGATCTACAAATGCATTAATTAGAAGACAAGTGTTGTACCAGAAGTGGTCGGTCAAGATTGAGATACTTGCATGAGTTTGTTGTACCAAAGGAGTTGGCATTAAATAGGAGTGCAGTGTATGGTGTGAATCAAGGCCCCTAATGTAACAACTCATCCCACATTTATGGAAACTGAAAAATATGTCTAGCTAGTGAGCTCATTTAAGTGAGATGGGGGTTGTGACCATCCGTCCAACGTGAAACTTGTGAGTTGATTATAAGCTTGAAGTTGTGGGCAACCAATAACTTGCACCATGGTTTTAAGTTAGATTGGAGGTTATTGGGTCAGCTTTGGGCTGTAAGGTGTTACACCTAACCCCTGGAGGGTTCACCTGTTTATGTTTGCTCTTGGGTTGCATTGTTGTGTTAACTTATTTTGGTTATGTTTTTAGCCTCCCCTGATCAGTTTGGGGCAAAAGGCTGTTACTTGGATTATATCTTTTTATTTTATTTTCCTTTTTGTATATTTGCTGCTTAGTAGTATTTTCTTTTGGTCCTTGCATTTTGTGCAGTCATGAGACAAGATTAAAGATTGGGGCTGCAGTGCGACTTAATTGGGATAGGGGCCTTATGAGGCGGAGGATGATAGCACGCTGCCATTTTGAGTGGCTTAACTTAATTGCAGAAGCATCTAGAAAGGGGCTTTATGGCGAGCAAGAGCTACAGTGGGACTCGTACAAGGTGATTAAGGAACAGTGTGAGAAGGAACATCGAGAGGCTATGGAAGCAAGGAAGAAACCTAAATCGACACCAGGGAGAAGAGTACCCAAGACCCCTGAGCAAAGGAAGAAAATCTCAGAGGCCATTGCTGCTAAATGGGCTGACCCTGTAAGTAGTATATTGTTAGTCAACAAGCTTTCATTTTTCAGATTGATGGTTTACGGAGGAATGTATTCTGTTATTTTGGATTAGGCATACCGTGATCGTGTTTACTGTGGCATAGCTAAACACCGAGGCAAAAGTTCTGGGAGTAGAGATCCAGCTTGGGGAACAAAGAAGAAGGAAGCTAAAAAAATAAAACCGCAGAAGAAGAAGGAACCGAGGATAAGAGATTCACGGGCTAGTAAGTTGAAGACAAGTATCAGTCCGCCTAGATACAAGGATCCACAGGCTGGATACAAGTTAGAGATGATAAAGAGTATCAGAGCTCAGAGAGCAGGTTCAGACCCCAAGATTCGCGAAGCTGTAACAAGAGCAAAGTGAGTTGAGGTTTGAAATCCATCTTTTTTGAAAAAAGATGGAAATTTTTGATTTTTTTTAATGGGTGCATGCATGCATGCAGTGTTCTGATTGCGGAAGCCCAGAGAGCTGCGGAGACATTACAAGTGGCTGCAGCAAAGAATCCGATGGCTGAAGCTTCTTTAATTGAAACGAGGAAACTGATTGCAGAAGCAATTAGCTATATAAAGCCTATAGAGATGGCTAATACTCCATCATCTCCAGATGTGAAGAGAGAAACAGAGCAAAGAGGAGTAAATGGAGTGGGAAGTGTAGGGTTAAACAAGCATGAGGATGAAGATGAGGATGAACATGTGGTGGCAAATGGAAAGGAGCGAATTGATGTATCATCATCATCATCATCATCATCATCATCATCATCATGGGGTTTGCAGGTGGAAGAAGATGTTGGTAGAACGATGGCATCTGAGAAAGAGGGCAAAGGTAGAAGAAGATGGGTTTGTGGGAGGCTGGTTGAAGATGATGAGGAGCAGCAGCAGTAGTGTTTTGTCCCAAACTACTAGTAGTAGTCGTATAAGATTAAAAAAGAACATGTGATGAGGATTATGATGCATGTTTTACTTTGTCATCTATTATTATTATACATGACGAAACCATCTTCCCTTTTACACTTATGTCTAAATGACTGATTACTAAATGCTTATCGGGTAAGTATTTATTGGGTCCGTTACCTTACCGGGTGACCATGGTAGGGACTGAAAATCTTATTTGGTAGGCAAGGTAGAAAGCTTTTACTTGATCAATGCTTATCGGGAAAAATACACTTTCCAATAATTTATTGTGATGCTAAAAATGTTGTATGATAAAATAAGAACAATGCAACTCTTGTTGGCAAATTTATACTTGATTAGCATTTAGTAAGCAACCCTTTAAATATTGTATCTACGTGTCCTTTTTCTTAAAAAAAAGGGTAGCATCATCAAGACAAATGCTTGCTATTTTTGAATAGAAAAATAATGAATAATTCACATTAAGCAGGAAAATGAATAAGGTTGATAATATCAACATGAATTTATTTTTAAATTTTGTTTTTGTAAATAAGGTTCATAATTAATTAAGAAGAAAAAAGAAGCCGAAATGAAATATTCCACCAGGGCTGGCAAATGGCAATACTACCATCTGCAAATGCAATTGCAATTGCACTTCGCAGCACAAGTGTGCGCCGCTCCTTAGACGCTTTTCTCATCTCATTTGTTGAATCCCATCTTGCAGTTGCTCGATTCATTTACGCATATCCCATTATCAATCACATCATATTCTTCCAACCCAAAATCTAAACAATCTCTTTCATGGTTTAGAATCTACAACCATCAAACATGAAAGCTAGATTATTAGTCTTTCCAATCAAGGGAAGGAATTGGTGCTTTATCAGATCCATTGACCGCTCAACCACGCAATCACAATCCTCCCAAACTCCCACCACATTCAAACACCTTTGGAACAACATTTCTTCCTCTTCTCACAAATCCGCTGCTGCTAATCTTGAGCTATGTGTTGATTTTGCAGCCGACAAGGTACTCCCCTTCTCTTTTTTCCCATTCCATTTTCATTCTTTAATCAACTTTTCTGCACTACGTAGATGAATAAAGCTTGGTCTGGTCTGGAGAAGGCGCCTCCCGGCAGTTTCAAGAACAAGATTCACGGGTACAAAACCTGTTATTTCATCTGAATCGTATCATCTAACACCCAATGATTCATTCTCATCTTTTTCTTGATTTTGATGTTTAGCTTGGGATTAAGCCTTTTGTCACGTGTTAAGCCTTCTGAGATATTTTTGAAGTCCATTCCCAAGCAGTTAACGGGTGTGGAGGTCGTCTTCCCATCAAGGTTTGTTTCTTTTTTTTTTCTTTTTTTTTTGTGTGAAACATGATTCAAAATTAGCGCACCTTTTGCACTCAATAAGGGACATGTGGGATTTGTTGTAACTTTTAGAGGATGATTTTCAATTGCTTATGAACAAGCCCCCAAATAAAGGAGAACCCCAAGTTAAGAATAAGGACAAGTCCTGCTGCACATGGTTATGTATGGGCAATATATTCTTACAGTTTTACATAAATTGTGGAGATATTGATCTTGCATCTTGTAGGAATAAGTAAATATTGTGTTTCTCCAACTATCAATTTAGTGCATGGTAGCTGCTCAGATTCTACCATATCAACATTTGATTTAACCAAGCCATCATTTTCTAATTCAAATCATCGGAATAACCATTTATTATGCATGTTTTTCCAGCCTGTAATAATTTCTTTGACAGAAGCAGTGGTCTGTAAAGAGCACAATCAAATTAGTATTTAAGAGAGGCACTGGTGTCCTGCTAATTAAGTTCACTTCTATATAAAGCTGATGTTGGACACTGAGGAGTACTGACTCTTTGTGTTTGATTTTGTTTGAAGCTTAAATGCAAGACTTGTCCGTCGAAGATTAAGGCATATTGCTTTGAGGTAAAGTCTAGCATTTCTTCCCTTGGTGGAGATTACACTAGATTGGACGCTTTTATTGGTTATTCTATTACATAATAATTTCTTTTTCTTCCAAATATCATGTTCTTGTAGATAAATTTCTTACCCACAAGCTTTCATATAGTTATTTGATAGAGTTTGATTCTGTAATGATCGCACATAAGAGTAGAGAATCTGTCAATCTGGTCTAAGTTGGGCAGGATCTGTGCTCTACTCAATTAGTGTACTAACTCTAAAGGCATGATGCATGGGAGAGGCTAGATTTTATAAATATAAAAGGACATAAAAACTCTTTTGTATGTGCATAACCCAAAAGAGAGCAAAATGCTCCTACTAAATTCTAAGGCCATGATATTATGGACCACCATTTGTTCTATAATTTGGGAGTTCTGGAACACAGGAAAAAGACAAAGGCGTGATGCAATGGCGAAGGCTAGATTCAATTAAAACAAACACGGGAAGAAAACAATTAAATTTGTAGCCTTCCTTTGTATTTTCTCTTTGCTTCCTCATTTTCTAATTATGGCTTATGATGAAAATATGCTTGACAACATGAAGAGATGGGTAAATTTCATAACCTCAAAGAATGGATCTTTTAATGTACTATACTTGGGAATAATTACTAATTTACTACAATTTGCCAGTTTGTGTATAGTAATCCTAGTAGTTCTATCTTGACTGATGCTCTCACAAGCTACACATTTCCCTGTTATGACTAAGCCAAACAGAAACACCCATTATATCCCCTCCTGAAATAGGATATGGGGGAAGATGTACTTGGACTTCCTCTGCATCAAGAGGTAGAGAGGCTGTTTCCGAGAAGACACTTGACTTGCGAAAAAGATTTGGAAAGCATAAATAAAAGTCACGGGTTTTGCAAAAAACATTTGTTATTATTGGACAGATTTAGAAAAGATTTTAAAGAAACTTAAACAATCGGATTTTCTTTTTGAAGGCAAGAGATATAAAAACGAAAAAGAAAATGAGGAGACAGGGTGAACAAGGATGGTAGACAGCTGTTAATTTCACTGTTATGACCACTGTCAATTTATTCACAACGTTATGCATGCATATAGTTAAGAAGGCTGTGAGTACATCGCAAGAGTTGCAAACTATGGTTGGGATTTGCCTTCATTATCACTCATGTATGAAATCCATGTGCGTCAGTTTAGTCTCTTATAGTTTCAGATTTGAAAAAAGAGAAGCCTGCCAATTGATAATGTTTTTCAAACCCTGTTTACTATGTGTTTGTTAAGTGATAGTTGATGATAATTTATTTTTTAGTGTATTACTTTCAAAAATTGAATTTCCATTTGACAAACAATAAGGTGAACTCTTATAAATGTAGTTACTTGAGGATGGCAATTTCATGACTGTCTTTCTCGAGAACCTGGTGTACCTCTGTTGTTGAGACTAATGGAAACAGGTTTTGGAAACACATTTGCACTCGACTGTCTACCATATCTCATTGGTTAAAACTCTTTTCTTCAATAAAATGACACTTATAATTTATGGCTTTCTGCTTATCTTATAATTGACATTTTACTTGTCATGATAATTTTATTACACCTGCAAATGTATTTCATTTGCTTAATCCACGGTAGTAAAATATCATGATGTTAAATTAAAGAAGTTTTCTTTCTGTTCTGCAGGGGGACTGTTGTTCACAAGAATTACTTTTATGGATCAGTTACATTGCTTCCAGTTACCTCTGCTTTTGCCGTATGTATATCTGTGCAGGGTTTGGATCTGAATTGGACATTATATATAATTGCTCCTTCCCCGGGATTTGTATCATATACAATTTTTGATCCTTAAGATACAATAAATCCATTTTCAATATGCTGTGTGAATTCTGCTATTCGTTAACTTCTAATCAGATTTAGATTGCTGCAAGGCTCGATCTTTCCAATAATTTGCTACAAAGATTTACCTTTTCTTTTTCTTTCTATAATCTGTTTAGGTTCTGCCTTTGCCAAATGTACCCTTCTTCTGGATCTTATTTCGCACCTATTCCCACTGGAGGGCTCTAAAGGTGAGTTAAGCTTGTAAAATGATGTCAACTAGGCGACATTTCTGGTTTTTAACTTCATGAATACCTCACTGTCAGCTATAATTAATTGATTTAAAATGGTCCTTCCTACATTAACAGTAATTATCTAATGATGATTTGTGGTATTTGGTTCACCTCCCTTTGTTTGGTTTTATTATTTAAATCACCCATGTTCTTTACCTTACCTTTAGGGAAGTGAGAAACTTCTTCAGCTGGTATCAGATTCCCCAAAGAATCAGAAGTCTAGTGAGATACACCCTGAGAATGAAGCAGCAGAAAACAACTCAGAGGATCCTCCACTGGTAAATTATATATCTTACAATCTTGGATTTTGATCTGTTAAGCTTGAAATGATTGCTTGTATCTAATTTTTGATTGTGCACCCAAGTTTGGTGTGCTAAAAGGTGTTTGTAATATTGTTGTTATTTGTGAGGTGCAGGTAATGCAAGCATCAGAGGAGCTTGAGAGACTTGTTGGAGGTGGAGATGATGTTAGCAAGTGTCGATTAACAGACATCTGCAAGGTGTTTGATTTGAACACGGTGGATGTGCTTAAATACCAGCAGCAACAGCAAAAGTAGTAGTAGTTATAGGAAGAAAAAAGAAAAGAGAAAGAAATAGATGGAAAATTTTGATTTGTTGAAGCATTTGATCTGATTTTCAATTTTGTTTGTAAAATTGATTGATTGATTGATTGATTATCAACATGGATTTTGGTTCCTTTTCAGAGCCAAAACTGCACCATATCATAAAACTGTTTGTATTTGAAATGGGAATGATTAGCAGAGAAACTAGAAAAAGGCAAGGCAGCCAACAAGTCCATGACTCAAGAACAACCGGTTCACATTCCTTCTCTTCTAGTTCTACAGACATAACCAGAAGTTAACAATAAAATATGATTGATCACGTATATGCCAATTTCACTATGCACGTCTCTATTTTGACATTCATTCATTTGAAATTTGATAATCGTATTTTATGTTGAAAACTTGAAACCTTTCAAACTCTGTATCACTAATGACGTGCAGTGGGTTGAAATATTTATTTGCAAATTGATATTTATATGTAGAATAATTGTTAAAACCATGAAAATCTCTATATTATTTAACATTGTAAGAAATAAGTTTTTAATGATTTCTCAAGTCTTACGTTTTCCATTGTAAAATGATATCTCCTCCCTTTCTCTCACTTTATTTGCTTCCCAAGAAACGTCTTCTTCTCCGGTGATTCGATACGATACCATACCATGCCGACCGACATTGAAGATGAGATCAAGGACGAGAAGAACCCCCGACCTCTTGATGAAGACGATATTGCTCTCCTCAAGACTTATGTAAGGAGTACTTGCATCTTTTTTTCTTTACAAAACCCCTGCCCTAATATTTCTTTATATCCATTCCGTCCTCTCTCCTAACCCCATTTGTTTCTTCTTGCCCATTCACTGAATGGGAAAAAAAAAATCATATCTTTGATGAAATGCTGCTCCTATCAAGTTACATCAATCACTGTCTCTCTTCAAGTAAATTGTTTTCAACTTTTTCCATAATGATATTCTGTAAGGAACAAGACAAACGATGGTCTAATTAACAACATACTAAACCTAGACTTGGTAAAACTCTAGTAAAATCTTAATTTGCAGGAATGGCTACAAACCCTCCCCCAAACTAGCTGTGGGACACATTAATTCTTCGAGCTTCAGAACTCTTAGCTGCATTATGAACCTTTCGAAAGTCAACTTGCAGTGGTTTGGTCATCAAGCCTGTAACTTGGTCTTTGGTTCCAAAATGAACAAGCTGAAATGTTCCATTTTGAACAAATTCTTTGAGAAAATGAAATCGACATCTATGTGCATGCGTTACTGGATTTTCGCGTAGCTATATGGTTTAACTGGCGTCACAAGACACAAGTGTACCTTCTTTGTAGTTGTATCCCGATTTTCTAGTGATCATCCTCAACCAAACTGCATGACTTGCACAACTTGCTGCAGCACAAACTCTGCTTCAGTAGTTGATAACATGACAATAGGTAGTTTTTTAGACGACCATGACAAAACACCAGAGCTTAGCATAAATGCATAACCAGATTGCTCATTCAATCAACCAAGTTCCTTGCATGAGCACTGTCTGTAAATCAACCAGTTCCTACTTCCTTTCCTATATGATGGCATGATCAAAATTTCCCCTTAAGCACCTTAAGATTCTCTTTGCTGCTTGTAAATGCTATTATTTGGGTCTAGGCATAAATCTGCCAACCAGACATACATAAAATCTGGTTGTGTTGCTGCGAGGTACATTGAACTTGCAACCACTTGTTATGTAGTAAGACTCGCACACTGCTACTCCAATTTCATCATTGTTTAGCTTATTTCCAGGGATAAGGGATGTCTTTACAACTTGACTTTCCAGCATTCCAAATCGTTTTAGGACTTCAGTTGCATACTTCTTTTGGCAAATGAAGTTTCTTTGAGTAACTTCTATGCCAAGAAAGTGCCTCATTTATCCAAGATCAGTCGTCTTGAAGCTTTTTATCATTGATGCTTTGTGCATTCTCTTTGTCTCCAGTGATTTCAAGGCTTTGTAATATAGGTGTCCATACCTTCGATACCACAGTTGTGTCACAACTGTGGTATAAGAGAAGACAATTCTCTCATTGATAAGATAATGAATATTCTCTGTGCACCCAAATGTGTTTCACTGATGAGTTCTTAGTGTGGATGGTATATCTTGTAGGCACCATCTTTTTGGTATATCTTGTAGGCACCATCTTTTATCCCTATTGCAAGATTCTTCTCCTGTAACTGCCCAATGCTGAGGAACGATTTGTTAATTCCAGAATATAGCATACATCAGTGATAATGTGACTCACTCCATTTAGAGAGATCTTTATATTGCCTTGACCAACTATATTCATTTTGGTATTGTTTTCCAATTCAACAGTGTGGTTGAAAGCTTCTTTCAACTCACAAAAAACGACTCTCTGCACATGTGGTTGGAGCATCCCGAGTCAAGGAACCAAGCATCTTCCCTTCTGCTTCCTTGTATCTCAGCATATGCGATCAGTAGTATTTTATCTTCCTTATCTAGGGCAGCTTGGTTGGCTGCATTATTCCAGCGTGGACACCCAAATTGGAACTAACCAAGCTTGTGAAGCTTGAAACATTCCACCATATCTCTTCTAGATGAGTGTTTGTCTCCCTCTCATCCTCTAACTGCAAATCTTTTTCATCCTCTAGCTGTAAAGCCTTGTCTGTCATCTTTAAAGCCTGCTTCTCTTCTTCGCTTTTATCCTTCTTGAATTCCTGTTCATGCACCGCTAATGAGCTTTGAAGTGCATCCACAGAGAGCTGGTCAATATCTTCTTAAAGGTTTTTGTTGCATTCTAAACACGACACTAAGCTTGTATAACTAGCTGCATGTATTCCTTTTTTCTCAAGCTTGAAGGTTGACACAACTTTTTTCTTTATGTTCATTATAGATTGATAATATAAAATTTTCTTCTGCAATGGATATTGTCTATTGTTGCTAAAATGTTAAGAGTACTCCTTCCTCACTGTAAACTAACACAAGATAATGATTCATGCAGGGATTGGGGCCTTATTCCACCAGCATCAAGAAAGCTGAAAAGGATGTAAAGGAAATGGCCAGAAGGATCAATGATTTATGTGGTATGCTTACTTATGTGGGACTTAGTATTTGGATGAGCTCTATGTCATAATGTGGATCGGATTAATTTTGTCTTCCAATTTCTGAGTATCACTTGGACCTCTCTGCGTCTTTCCCAATGAAGTGTTTTTGCCTCCTAAAATATTCTTGTAGTTCTATGTTTCACTTCTACTGACATCAATTTGCAAGCCAGGGGTCTTCACTGAAACAGCCTCTCTACCCCTTGGGATAGTGGTAAGGTCTGCGTACATCTTACCCTTCTCAGACCCTACCTCTGCTTGGGATTTACTGGGTTCGTTTGATTTGGTTGGTTTTTTACTAACATCCATGACATGGCTACCACAATTTAGCAGCTGTGCTGCATTGTTGGATATACGCAGTTAACGATAACCTTTATACCAGTCTCATTTCTTATTAGTATTCTGGAACAGTGTGCCTCTCTCTTTTTCTGTGTTTTGTTATATAGATACTCACTTGCTTTGTCTTACATACATAATATCCTTGCCTCCACCCTATATTTACTCATGTACCACCTCCATCCTTCTGCCAGAAGCTGAAACATAACTAATTTGATGACTGGAGATGTTGTTTTATGTATGGTAGAAGCTGGCAGTTAAGCAATGATCTGTATAGGGTATGCTTGAATGGAATACCAGTCAGGGTAGAGATTTAAGGCCATTCAAGTATATGGTAGTTTTTATGTAAGGATTTTTTCTATCGTTTGGTGGCTGTAGCCAAGGTTTTGACAGTGGTGTTACCAGCAATGGAGGCGACAATAAACAACGGATAAGAGCTTATCAGGTAGGGATCTCTTAGAGGTGAGAAGTTTGTGTATACAAGGATAATGGAGAATAGAAAGAGAGACTGAATTGGGTTGCTTCTGCAAGGAGAGGGGGGGAGGGGGATGAAGGAAAGCAAAGCTATTGAGGGATCAGGGATAAGAGTTTGGTGGATGGATGAAATTGGAATAGAAAGACGAATGGATTGCTGTCTGTAAAGGCACTACTTTTGATATATCCCTGGCCATGAATTTTCATCTATAACAAAATTTGAGTTCATCACTCAAAAACTGTGTATTGAGATATTCTTATACTAATTGGTGTTAGGTTGTGCCCTCCCCAGTGTTCTTGCTGTACCACCTTGGAAACCTCCCTCTGATTTAGGCTGTGAAGATATTTCCCCTATGTTTGTGTTATGTAGGTATTGTTCGTCAATGATGGTGCCCATTTTGTTTCTGAATTGTAGTTTCTCCTATTTTGATAGGTATCAAGGAGTCAGACACTGGTTTAGCTGCACCTAGCCAATGGGATCTTGTTTCTGATAAACAAATGATGCAAGAGGAACAACCTCTTCAGGTTGAAAGTGATGATAATCAAAGTTTCTCCAATATTTTTTTCCCTCTCCTGTTCTTCATCACGAATGCTGTCTCATTGTTGCAAACAGGTGGCTAGATGCACAAAGATAATTAATCCAAACACAGAAGATGCAAAATACGTCATAAATGTCAAGCAAATTGCAAAGGTATGCATATTATGCATTCCATGCTAGAGATATGAAGTTGAAATACCGAGTATCCATCTAAAGAGGAAGGGCAAAATAAAAACACATAATGAAACAAGACTTACCTAGCTAGGTTCGATGCTCGCCAGTTATTCCAGTATCATTGTTATAGTCAAATTCTTTGTTTACCTCTGTGGTGGTTGGATTCTTAAAATCTTGAGATATCTCAGTTTTGATTGGAATCCTAAAATCTGGTAGTTTTGTAGTCCTGCAGCTTAGTTTGCATGGGAATAGCAACAAAAACGTGTGATGATTTTGTAATTCATAGTTCCTGTAAGATTAGCCCAGCTTTCAGATTTGCAGGATATTTGATGTGAACATAGAGTACATTTAATGTTTCTTTAATTTGAACTGCCATACACTCTTTGGGGCTATGTTTACTTGTACTCTTCTGTGACACATGTAAGAAGTAACTGCAAATGTGTGTTTCCTTTCTTCTACTAGTATTTGAGACTTCGGTTGGATTTATGTTCGAATCAATTCTTCTGACATTTAGTTTCTCCAAATATGCAGTTTGTTGTTGGGTTGGGTGACAAAGTTTCGCCAACTGATATTGAAGAAGGCATGCGTGTTGGGTAGGTTTTATCACTAAGGATATCGCATTGTACTATTTCCAGAAATTGCTTCTATGCTTGTTGCACAACAAACATTAAAGTTTTTGGAATTGCTATCGTGTTGAATAGAACTGCATTCATTTCTTATTTGAAGTGCAAACCGGCTTGCACTGCTCATGTTTTTGTTTTTATGCTATTTCAAAGTAGTAGTTTGATCTTCATGTTCAATTGCAGTGTTGATCGCAATAAATATCAGATTCAGATTCCCTTGCCTCCCAAGATTGACCCAAGTGTGACCATGATGACAGTGGAGGAAAAGCCAGATGTGACATATAATGACGTTGGTGGATGTAAGGAACAGATTGAAAAGATGAGAGAGGTGTGATCATTGGTACATTTGTAGCACTGTCTGCATTGTATATTGTATAACATTTGTATAATTTTTATTCTTCGATGTGGGTGTAGGTTGTGGAGCTACCCATGCTCCACCCCGAGAAGTTTGTTAAACTTGGAATCGATCCTCCGAAAGGTGTTCTCTGCTATGGCCCTCCTGGAACTGGCAAAACGCTTTTAGCCAGAGCAGTTGCTAATAGGACTGATGCATGTTTTATACGTGTAATTGGAAGTGAACTAGTTCAGAAGTATGTTGGTGAGGGAGCACGCATGGTTCGCGAACTATTTCAGGTTATTGCAAACGAATCCAACTTATAGTATTATCATTGAACCAGGTGATAACAAACTAACACTCACCTTCACAGATGGCTCGCTCAAAAAAGGCTTGTATAGTTTTCTTTGATGAGGTTGATGCAATCGGGGGTGCACGTTTTGATGATGGTGTTGGTGGAGATAATGAGGTTCAACGAACCATGCTTGAAATTGTGAATCAACTTGATGGATTTGATGCTCGTGGTAACATTAAAGTTCTAATGGCCACAAATAGGTATGCTTATAGTTTAACACCACTTTAGATTCTAGATATTTGCAAGTAGGTACTGAATTGTTTGCTGCAGACCAGATACACTGGACCCAGCACTGTTACGACCTGGAAGATTGGATCGCAAAGTGGAGTTTGGACTGCCAGATATGGAAAGTAGGACACAGATCTTCAAGATCCATACACGAACGATGAATTGCGAAAGGGATGTGCGGTTTGAACTTTTGGCTCGCCTTTGCCCAAATTCTACTGGTAACGTTACGTCACCAATTAATGAGTCTACGTACGATATGCATGTGTGTGTAGGTAGAGGTTGTAAGCATGGATTTGATTGATTGATTGATATATGGTGCAGGTGCGGACATAAGAAGCGTGTGCACAGAGGCTGGAATGTATGCGATTCGAGCACGCAGGAAGACGGTGACAGAGAAAGACTTCCTTGATGCAGTGAACAAGGTGATCAAGGGGTACCAGAAGTTCAGTGCTACTCCCAAATACATGGTTTATAATTGATCTGTTGGATGGTGTACTTGCAATGCAAAATCAGACGATTTATTTTCAGACAAAAATTGCAAAAACGTAATGTTGTTTTCTTTTTATAGTTTTATCAACTTTTTTTTTTCTGCTGCAATCATATGCAACAAGGGTTTCAATTTTAGCAAATATGGACAAGTGTTTGATTTATTAGTTATACAAACGAAGTAGGATGGAAGGATACAGCCACCCCACCATTTAATAATTAATAGCTTCCAATTCCAAGTCATGGTTTCTGGTGGGACCTTCTCTTCCAGTCTTGTATTATTATTATTGTTCCAGATTTCTTTTTAATATATTCTTATCACTTGGATGGAGGTGTGTGGTGGTAGTGTGTTTATATTATATTTTAATCATGTGTAGATGATTAGAGATAGAGAGAGTTGCGATCAAATAAAAACCACCTTCATTTGTAAAAACTGTATAAACCATCTTCATACGTCGATTTCATTGTTTAATCTTATGAAAATTTTTCATGAAATTGTTAATCTTGTGAAATTGTTTCATATAATACTTTTTGATGAATTTGTTTCATATATGGTTATGAAATTGTTTCATATAATACTTTTTGATGAATTTGTTTCATATATGGTTATGAAATTGTTTCATATAATATTTAATGAAATTTTAATGAAACTGTTTCATGTATTTCTCTAAAATTAAAATAATGAAGATGATAATATCCATGATTAACACCCTACACAATAAAAATGGTTAATCAACCTCTCATAATTACAAAAAAAATGAACAAAATAAAAAATTATGGTTGGTTGAATGAGGTTTTCACGGTTTTTACAAATTAAGTGGTTTTTATTTGAACGCTCC